CAGGAAGCAATCTGGATTTGCATCATACAACCACCAACCATGCCTACTTACCCATGATTAATTGAACTGTTTAGATTGGCCTCTTAAGGTATTTCACTTTATTTGTGTTTAGGAGAGATACTCCTCTGTTGCTGTGTATTTAGAGAGTATATAAAAATACATTCTGCTTATGTTGACTTGCATGCCTCTAAAAAACACAGTAATAAAATTTCAACTGAGACAGAATTGCGAAGTAGCACGTGGATGGTACCAGAAACTCCAGATGACATTTTACAAAATGTTTGCTGAAAGATGTTATTGTTATAGTTAACAATTGCTTGTCCTTAAGCAAGACAAGCAATGTTTCTTTCAGCAAGATAGAGACACAGTGTCGTTGTTGTTGTTGCGTGCTGTCAAGGCATCTCCAACTTGTGATCCTACGAATGAATGCCTTCCACAATGTCTTGTCCTGGACAGCCCTGCTCAGCTCTTGTAAACTCAAGGCTGTGGCTTCCTTTATGCAGTTCATCCATCACATAGTTGGTTGTTGGCTTCTTTTTCTGCTTCAACTTTCCCTAGCTTCATTGTGAGTCTCCAGTGGATCTGCCTGAAGTACGACAGGCTCGGTTCTGTCACTTTTTCTTCCAGGGCAATTTCTGGCGTGATTTTATCTAGGACTGATTTGTTCATCTTCCTGTCAGTCCAGAGTATTTGCAAAACTCTCCCCGAGCACTATGTTTTGAACATACACATTTTCTTTCCGCCAGTTTTCTTCTTGGTCCAGCTTTCACACCCATACATAGTGATGGGGCACAATGCAGCCTCTCTTTATCCTCCCCAGTCAGCATGCTCAGTTTTTCTCCATGCATATGGATTGTTTTCAGTCCAAGTTGTAACTGTGCTCAAGAGGAACAGTATGAAATTTGGAATGATAGACAACCCTATCATCATATAAGGCATATTGACTTTCATAAGCAGGGTACAAATTCTGACAACCGCCAGGGCAATGGAAGATGCAACACATTCTGTAATGCTGTACAGAGAAACACTCAAGTCACCTGTATATGCTGCTGATCTATTCTAGTTCTAGTCTGTTTGATCACTCCAAAGATTTTATGTAGATTCTCCCAGAGCTCCAGACTTCAATTAGAAGTACTTTGTCTTTAGTGATCAAAAATTTCATAATGCAGTCTGGAGATCTGACATGCATTGGGAAAACAATTTCTTAAATACTGCTGTGCAGGACTAAGCTGTTCTACCCAACCCTACCTCTTTTTGAAAGACAAATTACTTTCTGGTAATTCTAGCATATTAGCACAGTAATCTTAGGACACAATCCTATTGTGTCCAACCTTGACGCAGGTAAGCTTTAGAGACGTGCGTGCATCTTATGCCCTGAATGAGGCCTGCTGTTGGCAATCTCTGCCACTGCCTCGTGTGATTTTTAAAAATCCAGTTACCATTTTGATAAAGACTCAGGGAAATGGAATGAAAGAGGCTGCAGTTCCAGTAGGAATGGGCATAAGTCTCAGCCTCAGCTTTCTCCCCTCTCAATCCTGACATGGTTTCATTTCAACCTTCCTAAGCACATTTGCAACCTCAGGAAAGGCAGCTGGTCCAATTCTTTATGGACTCGTTGTGAGCAGGGTGCATTGGAGGGCTTGGCCTTTGGAATCCTAAGTCCAACATCACAGGGTCTCATAGCTGGGACTCTGAATAATCTTATGCCCTCCCCAAGGCTAGACTATAGGATTCCATCTTAATTACATTTGTACCACTAAATAAATAATGTAAATGCATATAATACAAAATTTTGAAGTTTTTATAGATTTTAGGTTTCCACAAATAAATTGAATAGGGCTCTGTTCATATTAATGCTAAATGCAGGACTACTAATGTGCTTTTGGATGCATCAACATAAAGGTGTGGTTGACAGGTGCCTCTGCATGCATATAGTAAATTTATGGGGCTTCCTGCTACCTCTTTGTACAGATAATAAGCAGATGAACTATACCGCCTATACCTCCTACTTTGCATACTATTTGCAAATAGATGCAAATATATTGCATCTATTTTCAAACAGAAAATAATGCATACAAGTCTATGTAGATGGGTTGGTTCGAAACACCAAGTAAAACCAAATGTATACTTGCTTTGCTTTTATTTGCTTTTTCCTGAACATCCCATTTCTGTTTAACTTAAGTTTCTGTGTAACTTAAATGCTTGAATGTCACATTTGGAGCACTATGTAATAGTGCAGTGGTCTAATACAAATCCCTGTGCGTCTTTTGTAGTTAGATCCTGTTCTAGTTGTGCTCAGAATATACACTAGCAGCAACTGTTTTAATCTTAAATACTTCAAAGCAACATGTTTCTGAATTAAGCATATGTATGATCACATCATAAATCATAGTTCACGTTCAGGATTATGAGACGCACGTGTTAATATAAGAAGGTTAGCATGGGTAGAGGATGAATTTTGAATATTAATTGATATTAATTAAACATTGTGAATGAAGAGCCATATGCTATTGATTCCCCAAAGTTGTAGCCCCAGGATTGTCATTCACAGGATAGCACCAGGGTTGGAAGCACTATCCGCTTTCGGAACAAACTAATATTCAGAACAAATTTTGCAGAAAGGCCTTGACACTTTTATTGAATGAAAGATCTGTAAGACTACCTTTCCTGGTCATGTTGCTACTAATAGAATGTTGCACTTCCATCGCACATCTTCAGTCCTGGCATATAATAGAGTTTTATGTTAAGATAAGGAGGATCAGTGTATCTCCCACATGTTGGGGATTACTTGAGCGGAGCTGGCTGGAGCTGGAGGGTCAGACTAGGTGATCAGGAGACACCTTATGACTCGCTTTGTCTCTCTGTTTCTATATGGGAAACTGTATATTTCCATGAAAGTAGGCACCACTGTTTTTTGGTGTGGCTAACTCACAAGTAACTGCAACATGACATGTAACAAATCAGAACATCAGGATGTAGCACAATCATCTGGACTGTCACTTCCACATCCATGCTTTAATCATGAAATTATACTTTCACTTAGACTAATACTATAATCTTCTTAATACTATGAAAGTCAAAGGCAACACACTATTAGTGTGCATTGTAGGAAGGATTCAGGTTAAAGCATGAATGCACGATTGATGTAATATCAGACAGGATGCTAGCAACTGGGCAAGTGTCCAGGTATTCAGTTCTCCTGGCAGAGGAGTCTCTTGACTCTGCTGCTCTGTAGATGGCCAGGATTAAAGATGTAAAGTCAACCTGAAGACTATTCTGTATGAAAGAGGATGTAGAAAACCTGGAAATGGCTGGCCTGAAATGGAATCCTAAAATGCCAGTGATCTGATTGATAGAACCAAATGTTTCAATATGGCAACTATTTTCCTCCTGTAGTTTTGTCCCTAAAATGAAAACAACTTTATTCACTGCAGACATCAACATTCCTTTAAGAATCAGTAACCTGCCAAGTTACTGGAGCCTACAACAAAGAATTGACTGGAAAATGCCCTTGGAATTGCATGCATAGCCAAAACTAGGGATTTGTGGTTATTTTCAGAAAAAGCAGCCTTTTGTGGCTTTTTTGGTGTTTATCTTTTTAAAGACTGGATTCGTCTGTCTTTCCTCTGTAAATCAGAGGTGAGCAACTTGCAACTTCCCAGATGTTTTAGCTAATAATTCCCATCATTCTATGCTGACTAGGCCTGATAGGATTTGTACAATAAACCAACAGTCATAAATTAACAATCCATGCATAAATGGTTTAGATATTTTTTTAACTAACGAAATAAGAAACAAACTGCAGGGGGGTGGGTGGGGCCGGGGAAGGCAACTCTCTATCAGGGAAATCTGTAGGTGTTGAATTGCTGTATGTCAGGTCAATGATAAAGATTGCCTTAAGACATTTTGATCCTGCATGAGAAATAGTGATGCACTGTCTTTGATGGTGACAGTGGTTTGCAGAGCTTTCTGTATGCAAATTGCTTCACAGACATTGTTAAGTAACCATTACAACAGGCCTGTAAGGTGGGTCTGAATAACCATCACTGCATAGCAGTGATGATAAAATGACCATTGAACAGGCCATTTGGTTCATTTGTGGAAGAAAGGCAGTCTGAACCCTGACTCATGGTTCAAGCTCCTGTCTGCTGCCCACGCATCTGTTTTGTGGACTGAAGAGACAGTTGTGTGGCAGCTATGAAGAGCTGAAGAGAAACTCCAGGGCCCCTCCTCCCACATCCTGAAAAAGGATACTGGTTCACTACCTATATTCTGTCATTGCTGCAAGGACTCAGCAAGCTGAAGATGATTTCCCACTCTCTTCTATTGTCACAACAGCCAGGCTTCCCCAACCTTAATGCCTGTGAGATGCGCTAGTTATGCCCAAACAGGAATGTCAGGCGAGGTCCTCCCAGTTGTGGTACACCACTCGAATGGGCCACGCTGGATCAGGCCGATGGTCCGCCCAGCCCAGCGCTCTGCGCACATGGGGGCAAACCGCAGGTTTGGTTCCCGCAGGCAGCATGGGTGCAAGACCTCCGCCTGCCCGAGCTCCTCAGCAGCTGGCATATGCAGGCATGCCACCCCTGATAACGGAGGCAGCACATAGCCAGCAAGGACACTGATCGCCTCTCCCAGGAATTGGTCCGCTCCCGTCCTCTGCCTACCGCTGGCTTTCAGCGCAAGATGAAACGCTCCGTCGGTTTGCTCCGCGCAAAAGCAGAACCAAGATAATGTGCGTGGCTTTCAGCGCACACAGCAGATCTGCGGTTTTCCTAGCATGACGTACTGATCTCTACTTTCGCTTGTTCTTCCAATGTCCCCCCCCCCCGGTGTGAGCGCTACGGCACGGCTCTTCTTGTCAGCTCTTCTTACCCCCCCCCCCCACTCTCCTCTTAAGAATGAAACACAATATCTTAACCAAACAGACGCTGAAGAAGCCGCCCATTGGCTGGCGCTGTCCCCTGATGCGGTGGTCCCGCCTCTTCGGTTGTGCTGACAAGCTGTTTATGTTTTTTTGCAAGGCCACCCTTTAACTCAGGCTCCTGATGGCTATAATGGGACCAATTGTCTGAATGCTGCTGGGAGCAGGCTCCTCTCTTCAGAGAGGCTGTGTTTCAGTCCCTGGAAGGAGGGAGGACATAATGGAGCGGCTGTAAGTAAGCTTCTAGCTGTGCCATCACCCTTTCTTCCTCCCTTCCTTTCTTTTTCCTTCTACTTTCCCCCTGTTTCACTCTCTCTCTCTCTCTCAATCCCTCCCTCCTTGGATTATAGGATACTCAGTAGAGCTGGGATGAGTTTATGACTCAGAAAAGTTTGGGTTCATACAAAGCAACTTCTTTTGTTTGGAAGGAAGGAAGCCTTAACCTTTGAAAGAGCAGCTACTTTGTATTCAGGGACATGCTTCTCCAGATTGCTCTGTTCCTATCTCAAACATGAGTGAGATCATTCTGTGGAGACTAATAGAAACAGATGGAAAAAACAGCAGAATAAAATTAATGGGACAGCACTGCTCAGGAGATACCTATTCAACTTTAGAAGATCCAGAATTGTGTGGGGGGTGGTTTCAGTGCTTCAGGACATTTCAATTATATTTAAATCCAGAAATTCATGAAAGGATGGAGAATGGTAGTGGGGGAGGGGGAGGTATGGAACATAATAAACATAATTCTTTAGAATTCTGAGAAAATTTAAGTGATAGCATGCCATAAAATTAAAAAGCACTGAGGTAGTGATGTGTGTCCTTCTAGTGATAAATTGTCTTTGTGGTGTTAGAATAAGTTTAGGTCTGCCTAAGTTTAGGAAGCCTTTTCAGATTCGCAGAATATGGTAATGCCACTAGGTTTAAAGCTTCATAATTCTCTGGGACCAAAGTATCTGTGTTCTTCCCCCCTCCAAGCTGCATAATCTCACAAATCAAAATTTTGTCATCCAAGTAAACAAAAAGAACTGAACACTTTATAGACATGAAGTACTTGTCAACAAAAATGATTGGAACCCATTCCTACAGGGAATGTATAAATTACTGTAGCAACAGCCAAATTGGTTGGGAATTGTCCTTTAGCACACGGCTTCAACACTTGCCTCCCGCCTGATCTTCATGGCTCATGAAAATCCCACATTCTAAATAGGGAAAACTCAGATTCAGTGGTTAAATTATTCCCCCTAGACTGCATTGTATGGAATTAATGAGTTTTATACTTTCAATGAGTATTTTGCTTTGCCTTTCATTTTATACAACATTTTCTCCAACAATCTCTTCCGATAAGGAGTAAATCACCTATAAAGTTTTGCCTTAGTTAAAACAACTATCTAGATTTTATAAAGTGAGCATGCGAAATGTCAGATAAAGCTGCCATCAAAGCATCTTCTTCATGGTCTGGCAGGTTTCCCATGCTTTCCACTCTGAGATCAATTTTCAGCAGATCACCTGTTGAATTTCTACTGACTGTGCAAGCTATTAATGGAACCAGTAGGAGAGGTGGGAGCTGGCCACATTATTCCAGAGAAATCTTCTTAAAGATTTCTGTTTAGGAATGATCAGTGGAACTGACCCATTCTCTTCGCCATCTGCTACTGCTATGACCTGTACAATAGGAAGGATGGAGCCGAGCTAAAGAAAAAGTATCTAAAAGAGGGAGATTCAAAATTCCTTATAAGGAATCCTACTTACTAGCTTTTTAAAAAGCAAATAAGCTGGGCAGAATTTTATTCTTAAACAAGAACATATGTACATTTGTCACTTTTAGCATGTAATGTGAACAATGTTAAAGCATTACAGAAATTGGCTATCGTGCTTCAAGCTGAAAGCAAAGGCAGCTGTATTGGCCATAATGAAATCCCAATGGGCATTACATTTCTTATAGGCCAGCAGAACCTTCACAAAAAATGAGATCTTTTTATCAGACAAGATGTTCCAAAAAACAGATTGGGTAAAGGGAGAGAAAAAAACTAAAAACAGACTTGATATAATTGGTGTTCTTGAAATCTTGATGCAGAATGAGTAAGGAAGGGTCTTTAGGTAACTAGATGAGGCCACAGCAACTTTAGAAGGTTGAGGGCCACACTGGCCACTTCACTGCAGGACTTAGACCCTACCGCACCCCTGTGCAGGAACCACAACTATAGGCATTTACTCCCTGCAAGTTCTCCTTGCCAACTGAATTGCTAGCATTTGGGGACTGGCAGGGGCAGCTGGACCAGGTGGGAGTTTGCACAAATGACCACGGCAGGCTGTGTTGCCAACAGGGATTTTGGAAGTTGAAACAGAATGTACATTCAAGGAAATGCAAGCTTTATGTTCTAATTTCAGATATGAGAAATGCAAACACTGGCTTAAGCATCACCTGGAAAAATTGCCTAAAGCACATCCCTCTCCCTGCCAAGTTAAACACTGATCTGAAGAAAAATGTTGCTCAGGTTGACAGGACAACTTTCCTGCCTCCTGGAATTCTGTGGGTCACTTCTGCAGCAACATCAAAGCACCGTTTTCCTGGCTGGGATCCCTTTGTGTGGGGGTATATTTACTGGGGGAAAACTACTTGTCTTTTTTCAAGGACAGGTGTTTTTTGTCTGTGCTCTTCTTCAACTGGATTGTTTGCTCTTAACCATTTTTAGCCTTCAGTCATCTTGATTACGATCCTTTTGGCAGAGCTGGGTGTTTCCAAGTTCTGTACAAGTCTTTGCACAGTCATTATATTAAATGGTTTTAGCACATAAAGCTATGGATGTGCCATAGTTGAATCATTCCTGCATGTTCTTGCTGCAGTTTTAATAAGCCACTGCATTACATGCATTGAAACTAAATATTATGAATGAATGAAAATGTTACTGTTACAGCAACTGATTATATTATTTTTCCATGGGGAAAATCATGGAGACATAGCAAAATCTAGAAGCCACATTGATAATATGCAGGGCCACCTCAGAGGAGCCCTTTGCAAAGCAGCTTATGGTAGATCCCCTCCTCTGTCAGTGGATTCTGGCAGTTTACCTGCAGTAGCGACACTGTAAGTACCACCATGCAGCTGAATTTCTTCAGTTTAATTTTTTCACAATGTTTCCAGTGGAGTGTCACTCCAGGCTTTGCATGATATTTAAATGGAGGCTTGACCCAGTTGCCTGGTGCTTCTTGGAGCATCTGGCCAGATATTTTTAAAAAGTGCATCAAGACAGGTGTCAAACATGATGATATCCATAACACCTATTGGTGCATTCATCCTCAACCTGGTGTCTTCCAGATGTTCAGCTTCAGTAATTTCCAAGAAATATGGCCAATGGTCTAAGATACTGGGAGTTGTATTTTAAAAGTTCTGGAGTCCACAAGGTTAGGCAAGACTGTCCAAGCTTATCAAACTTAAGACTTCTTTGTGAAAGCAGTTGCTGTTTTCTGCTGAGAGTCGCTGGGAGAGTGACTGAATTACTGTGATATTTATATGTATGATTCAGCCTTTACAGAAAAGTAGATTAAATTATGGAAGTATAGCAAATGTAAAATTATGTACTTCTATGGTATAAGTTTAGGAAGTTAGAATTAAAAGGGGAAGCTAACTGAGATTTGCAAAAAAAAAAAAAAAGAATCCAGGGCTCACCCAGAATGAACTGTATTGTTTGCTTTGTGGGGTTAACTTGTGTGTGTATTTGTAGGTTTTCTATGTAGATCAGTAGGTTTTGTAAAAGCATTAGTTGTCTCCTTGTTTCACTGCAAAAATGAAGACTGTGCTTAGAGGAAGATATGCTAATTTGTTATTGTAGAGATACAGTGAGAGAAGAGACAATAACTAATCTGATGGGTTTTGAGCAGCAGCTGCCTCTTTGCTTGGGCCACCTGTATTTACCCTGCACGCCCCTGTTCTTCCATGGCAAACAACCTCATGGGGATCAGTGCAGTCTTAGCCTGGCTTGGAGGTAGATGTGATGCTGCACTGTTGTGTTGCCTTGTTTGGCTACTTCCACACACATGCGTGCAAAATAACCACACTAGAAACAAGAAGCTGGCTGAACTGTATCAAAAACTCAGCCCACTTTGTGGGGTCTGTTATGCTTCAAGCTTACTGGAAGAAATAATGTTATGACAGTGTTGCCTCTGGCAGTTTTAACACACCATCTTGGCCAGCTGGTGTCATTTCGGTGAATTACGTGATCTGCCCTGGAATGTGATGTTTCTGTGTGTCTCTCTCTCCTCTCTGATTACCTTAGACTGTGATTCAGGTCAGCTGGAGATGAGCTGGAGGGTGTGCAGCATTTAGCTTTATCACTAAGTTTCAGCCATCCTGGAAGTGGTGGACACCATGTGCTCAGTCCAGCTCAGTATTAATTTCATTGGATATTTCATAATTCACCGCCACCACCAACGTGATTTGCTAGGCATGGGGACTTGTATACTGATACTGCACTGGAAGCAGGCCAAGAGTTCATGAAACAGGTCATGGATCTGTTTTTAGATGGGTTGTGGAAATACTGGTTTATACTGATGAACTCTAAAGTTGTTTTAAAGATATTTGGCAGAAGTGTCTCAAATTCCAAAATAGTTTTGATTGTGTAGTGACTTTTAAAAAATACCAGTTTAATCATGGTAATTCAAAACAGCCAGCTTTTGGAGATTTGCAGTTTCTTTGGGATTCAGATTACATACCTTTTTGTGAATTCCTACTGACCAATGGACAGAACGTGTCTTTGTGTTCCTTTCTTCAGTTTAGGAAGCACAGATGTTTTGAATGGTCAAGAAGTTAACACACAGTAAAATCAGCTGCCAAGAGGAAGATTAAAAAGACACTGGATTAAAAAGACTTGGCTGCATTGTTTGCTTTTAGCCCTATAATTACATCACTGATATGTATCTACATAGAGACAGCCATTTAATTTGTAAATGTTGTGCGGATAATGTCTTAAAGTTTCAGAGGTCAGTACATCCTAGAATAATGGAGCAAAGGTATTTGTAAGAAAAGAGTTTTTCAAAGAAACTTCTGATTCCTTTCCTGTTGTATTTTAAAGGTGGCAGCGAATATCCTTTTTCACAAATATTATAGAAGTTTACTAGAGTTCCTTGCATTAATTTTCACTAAGAAGTGTTCTGTGGAAGTGTTAAGAAAACACTTCTGCTGAGATTTCTAACAGCAATTCTGCAGCATTGTGTGAGTGTGAGGGGAGGGAAGG